AAGAAGCTTCTTGGATGAGAAGTGAAACATCTTCAAGGAAAAACAAAGAAAGTCCAGTTGCCTTTTGAAAAAGCACCTCTGGGTCTTTCTCTTTTGGTTTTCTAATTATTTCAACAAATTGCAGTCTTCTGTAGTTCCTAGCCATTCTTAGCCATCAATGAAATATCAGGCTACTTTTCTTTCATTTTAGTCTCTCTTGTTCATGTTGCCGTTTTATAAACATGGAACTGCTGAAACTTTGTTCTATAAGATGAATATGAAATCTTTTAAAGAGTGAAATGATTGTTTTCGATCAGAAATCTAATGTGCAAATAAGTTATGCCAGAAGACAAACCTTGGTTGATCTTGAAAAAATAAAATGGAATCTGATCTATTTAGTAGAAAGATTGGAAACTATGAAGGAATCCTAGAAATACAGGTAAGATATAGATAATCCCAGAGAGAAGACAACCTCATAGAAGTCAAACCAATTCTATATTATTGCCCAGAAAACTACAAGGATGTTGACATGAAGTCACTAGGAGTGACTTACTTTAAACCAAAATATTTAGAATGTCCCTAAAAATCATATTGCAGTAAATTAAGTTCTGAGTTTAAATTTTTAGTTAGGGATTTGAAAAGAACGGAATAAAAGAAATACACAAGCAAGCTACTTTTCAAACAGAAAACTAGCTTAAAATAGAAGAGAGTCATGTTCTCATTTTTTTCTGAAGCTTTTAAAATTGCAGGTAGTCCCCAAAATGAGACACAATCTTGCTCTTTTTGAACCTGCTGCCTTCATGGTCTGGCTTAAAAATTACAGTCCTGAGGGCACTGCAAGAAATACTTAAATACAGTGAATTTCACCCGGAGTGCATTTATACTTGCTTAATCATAAGCAAGCTGCTGGAATTCCTGAATGCTGAAATATCTATGACTTTTAGAGCAAGAGGGAGGATATTATCTGGGTCTCAGCCAAATATTTTTGAATTTGGATAACCAAGTTATTATTTCTTCCTGGCTCCCCAGATCAACTGACTAGAATCTGGACAAAAGCGAAGCATTTGGAATGAAAGAATTCTAAATCCTAAAATTTGTCCTGTGGATCAGATATGATACATAGGATAACAGCAGTGAAAGATGGAAAGATTTGTCAGTGCCTACAATGGAGGAATGGTTGGTGAAGATATCAGAGCTTGCTACAATGGCCAAGTTGACCTTCTTGATTAGAAAAAAAGATGGAAACCCCTTACAGATATTTTTATATTACAAAAAGAACTTGTGATTTATGGTTTTAATAATTATAGAATAGAAAGAAGAAAGAGAGTCCTGATGTAATTTTAGAGGAGTTAAAATACTTGCTTGAAATTCTGGATCATCTCAGTCAATTCTGATAATTTTGAGTCAGAGGATCTCAACACACAGGAGTTATGCATACTTTCGACCTTAATAGCATAAATGCCCAATTAAAATATACTGCACACCCTTAAAATTGACCACAAAGTGGTACTTAAGCAGCCATTAAGAACAAGTAAATAAAAATAAATGTGTTTTTCCTAAAGGTGTCCAGTTGTGGCTGTAAGTCAAGGACCAACTGTAGTGATGCAGTTTTGAAACAATTACACAGCAAGCATAACAAAACTTTTGTGAAATTCTTAAATTAGACTTAGAGTTGGTTCATGTATTTGTGTTGTGTCACAATGGAGTCTGCTGCTTGTAGCTTATTATGCAAATGCATTGTAGTTTGCTGCTTGTAGTTTAGTATGCAATGCACTGTGGTTTATAAAACCATGGTTTATGACAGCACAGGGGTCAAAAACTTGCAACCTCAGGGCCACATGCAGTTTCCTGAAGTGCTTAAATGTCTTCTACAAACAGTAATTGGTGAAACTGAAAGCTAGTTTCCTTCATTTTGAAGTACGAAACACTCATAAAAAGTTTACTGTGTGCCTCAGTGTAGAATGATCTATTAATAAAAATAGCCAGCCCAGTATTGTTTTATGATATGATCCCAACTACTGTTGCGATTCCTCGCCACCCAGTGGACCCAGCAGCTGAGTCTGAGGAATCAGAGGAGGAGGAAGAGGGGCCTGGAGTGACATCAGAGTCAGAGGAAGGCTCTGAGGAGCTCCAAGACTTACAGTCGGACAAGAAGCCTGGCCCCTCTACTTGTGCTCAGGCTGAGACACAGCTGTGCTGGGAGCCTGAGTTGGACAGTGATGAAGAACAGTTGGGACAAATCCAGGATGCAGGAAAGCACAGGCAAGAGAAGCAAGTAGGACAAAGGAATGCAATGGGTCGACTCCAAAGGCAAAGGAGAAGGCATTAGTAAATACAATATAATCCTATTTTTTCCAAGTACTAGTTCACCAAGGAGGGGGGGGGTATTCTCAAACCACATCTAGTACAACTTATATTTGTACAGAGAGAGAGAGAGAGAGAGAGAAACTTCTCTTTGATTAGCTTACATTAATTAACCCAATGTAGTGGATCTCATTATCTGCAAGCAAGTCTCCCTGTTTATAATGGGACTTTTGCCTTAATAAACCTGTTTAAGACTACAAGGTTTGGCTACCATCCTCTGCTCTAGAGATTTATCTATTTATTAAATTCCAACAAATCCTAGCAGAGTTTCAGCAAGAATTAGACTTAATATAAGGTAGCATAATTTTATATTATGTAGTATTGTATAAATTTTATACTTATCTTTTTAAACTTATCTATCCTAAGTTTCATAGCATTTAGATTATATGCTAATTGTAATTTGATAGGATTCTCCCACATTTTAATTCCTGAATGCTGTAATTTTATGTTTATAATTTTAATTTTATCTTCTTTTATTCTATATAAAAGCATTCTGGAGTACATATGTAGGATCCCCCTAACCAACTTGCTCAGACTGAAGAGGTTACTTGAATAAGCAGTGAAATGTTTCAAACCAGCAAAAAAATAAGTCCAATTGCCGTGATGACTCAATTTCCTGACAACTCTACCTGGATGACTTACAATCTTCATCGACATAATTTTTATATATTTTTTTATTTCTACTTTTTAAATAAACAATTATTATTAATTTTATGCTGGTCTATGACCAAAATGCAATTAAGTGATTGCTGTTTACTTAATTTATATAGCTGCACATCTCACACACACAACATCCAGGCAGGTTACCATAAAAAAAAAGAATACATACAATAGAATAGAATACAAGTAGTCCTCGACTTACGACCACAATTGAGCCCAAAATTTACATTGCTAAGCAAGACATTTAAGTGAGTTTTGCCCCATTTTACAGCCCTTCTTGCCATAGTTGTTAAGTGTATCATTGCAGTTGTTAAGTTAGTAACACAGTTGTTGAGTGAATCTGATTTAACCATTGATTTTGTCAGAAGATTGCAAAAAGTGATCACATGATCCCGGGACACTGCAACCGTCATAAAATAAGAGTCAGATGCCAACTGTCTGAATTTTGATCACTTGACCATGGTGATGTTGCAACAGTCGTTTGAAGAGATGGACGTTAAGTCATGTTTTTCACGGATGTTGTAACTTTGAGCAATCACTAAATGAACTGTTGTAAGTCAAGGACTGCAGTAAAAGTGTGATTAGGCACAAGGAATTTGTCTCTGGTGCAGAAGCTCTCAGTGCACATACAAATCAACAGAGTAGTGATAATAATAATAGCAATAAGAGGGTGTAGTAAAGAAGATAAGGACAATATAGGTAGTCCTCGACTTATGCAGCTAGATGACTCCACTGACGCTAAGGCATTTTCTTTTACAGAGCTGCAGCTCTCTGACATTACATAAAAATAAACATGAAAGTAACATTTAAAGCATGGCAGACCTCTTGGGGGGTTGCCAAATCTTAGCTTTTTGTAGGCATATATATCAGGGGTCCACAACCCCTGGTCCGTGGACCGGTCACGGTCCGTGGCATGCCAGCAACCGGTCCGCGCAAACAAGCAAAGCCCCATCCACCGAGATGCAGGCAGCACATAAAACCACACACTCTCCAGTCCGCGGAAAAAAACTCTCTCTATGGAACCGATCCCTGGTGCTCAAAAGGTTGGGGACCTCTAACTTACAACCACAACTGAGCCCAAAATTTATGATGCTAAGTGAAACATTTGTTAAGTGAGTTTTGTCCCATTTTACGTTTTCTTGCCCCAATTGTTAAATGAATCATTGCAGTTGTTAAGATAACAACATGGTTGTTAAGTGAATCTGGCTTCCCCACTGACTTTGCTTGTCAGAAGGTCGCAAAAGGGGATCATGTGACCCAGGTGCAGTGCAACCCTCATAAATACGAGTCAGTTGCCAAGTGTCCAAATTTTGATCACGTGACCATGAGGATGCTGCAAAGGTCGTAAGTGAAAAATAGTCCTAAGGGGTCCTTGGTGCTCTCTTTTCTTGCAGAAGTTCTAATGATCCCAAATCTGGGAAACAGTCCCAAGTCACTTTTTTTCAGTGCCGTTGTAACTTTGAACGGCCACTAAGTGAACTGTTGTAAGGTGAGGACTACCTGCAACACAATAATGTAATAATATGAAAATGGAAAACAGGTGTCCCCTGAAGAGACAAAAATAAGTCCTGCAGATCAGATTGGGTGTCCCACTGCCCAGAAGTGGGGGTGAGGATGACCAAGGCTCAGAAGGGGGTTAAGCAGTGCCTCACAGTGGGTAGAGTTGACTTTGGGGTCCTCCCCCCAAATTCACTTTTTGCTCTCTCTCCCTCCCCCCCCCCGTGCCCCAGGCTCCGAGGCAGGCCCGTGGAACCGCACCAGCCTCCTTTCCAAGCCAAGGACCAGAATGTCGCCCCTTCGAATGAGTGACAGCCTCTTCCCACGACTCGCCCCGTCCTCAAAGGCGCCAAAACCGAGGGAGGGAGGGAGGGAGAGAGAGAGAGAGAGACCAGCCAAGCGCGGCCTTTCCAGAGAAGTGGGGCTCCTGTTCTCCCTCTCCCCCCCCAGCCCCCCCCCCAGATGAAGGCAGGCGCTCCCCAGGGCTGCTGGCTGTTTACCTATGGAGATCTCCTGGGCGAAGGCGAGCGAGATGAGGAGCAGCGGCAGCCCGACGGCGATGCAGGTGACCAGCTTGTCGAGGGCCAGCTCCAGCCGCAGCCCCTTGTATCGGCTCTCCGACGGCTCCTTCAGCAAGAAGTCCGAGAAGACGTACTCAGTGGCGATGTGCGCGATGGCCATGGTTGCGGCGGCGGCGGCGAGGACGGCCACCAGCAACCAGAAGCACCTCGCGCGCGCAGCCTAGCCCGCTAGTCCCTGCCGCTCAGCCGGGCAGCATCTCTAATTCCAGCCGCCGCCGCGTCCCCGGCACTTGGCCAGGGCTGCAACAGGGTCCTCCGCCCGTCCGCGAAAGCCAGTCTGCCCGGCCGGGGGAGGGAGCGACCAGCCTTTGTTTGGCGCCCTCTCCGAAGGCAGCCGAGCATTGGCGGGGAGGGAGAGACACCCCGCGCCTCCTCCCTCCTCCTCCTCCCCGCCGGCCTTTTGTCAAGGGGAGGCGGGGCCAGGAGAGCTAGGGGCGGGGCTGCGGGAGGGGGGGGTGTTCCGAGAAGCCGAGGGCGGGGAAGGGGGAACCCGGGCCTGAGTTGCGGGGGGGGGGGGGGAAGCCGCGAACAGGTGGCTCTCCTTGGACTTTTCTCAAAGGAGCTAGCTCCTTAAGCTATCTCGGCCGCAGGGCCTTCGGCTGGATAGATGGTCGAGCAGGTTGCAATCCAGCTTCCTGCACGGGAGGGATGCGTTCGTGTGAATGCGTGGGTGGACTCCGCAGTCTGAGTGGGCTGTTCCGACTGTATGTTCTTTAAGTACACGTAGCTCTCCCGCTTAGGACGACAATCGAGCCCAAAATTACTGCTGTAAGCAAAACAGTTCCAAAGCACCAGAAGGCCGCACAAGAAACAGTGGATGGAAACTCATCAGAGAGAGAGAGAGAAGCAACCTAGAATTAAGGAGAAACTTCCTAACAGTGAGAACAATTAAACAGTGGAACGACTTGCCTCCAGAAGTTGTAGGTGCTCCATCGCTGGAAGTTTTTAAGAAGAGACTGGACAGCCACCTGGCTGAAATGGTATAGGGTCTCCTGCTTGAGCAAGGCGTTGGGCTAGGCTAGAAGACTTCCAAGGTCCCTTCCAGCGCTATTCTGATTGATTGAATTGTTAAGTGAGCTGTGTTCCCACTTTATGACTTTTTTTGTCACATTGCGTTAAACGAATCACTGTCGTTGTTAAATGAATCGTGGGCTTGTTAAGGGAATCTGGCTTACCCATTGGCTTGTTGGAAGCCAGCTGGAGAAGTTACAGATGGTGATCTCATGACCCCTCCCTCCCCCACAGTGCAAATGTCATAAGTTGTCAAGGGCCTGAATTTTGATCATGTGACCATGGGGACGCTGCAATGGTTGTAAGTGTGAAAAACGATTTTTCAGTGCTGTTGTAACTTTGAACAACCCACTAAACAAATGGTTGTAAGTTGAAAACTTCTTATAAGTAAGAGATAGTGGGAAGGTGTTTGCCTGATATGTTTTATATAGGGTAGTTATCTAGCAGCGTAGGGTTGGTCCTGATTAGATAGGAGACCACCAGGAAATCTCAGGGCAGTAAGATAGATGGGGAAATTTAAAAAAAAAAAATCCTAGAGGAATAAGCAAGCTAGTTCGATACAAGTTTGGCTAAGAAAATTACCAAAACCTGTCCATTTGAGCATGAGTAGCTTAGTTTAGGAGCCATTATCTTTTTTTGTGGTTTTTGTGCACACCCCATTTATTGGCTTGGTTTGTGGTTCAGCTCAGCTTGGCCAAAGCCAGGAAATGAGTTAATTCAATATCTCAGTGTCAGAAGACGTTTGTGTTTCTAAAGCATGGCTACAAAACATGTTTGCCCTAAGCTCATTAAATCCAGAGTGTATTGGTGATGCTATATATTACTAAATATGGTACGTTTATTAATGCTGATATGTTTTACCTTAATTTCATTTTTAAAAAGACTCCCTAGTCATCTTTTCCTAGATCTTCAAATTAAGCAAGACATTCATTTTCCAGGCAATGTAAAATTTACGTAAAATATTTTTTCCTCTTTGGTTACGTTGTTATCCCATTTTGACTTTTCTTTTAGATGATTTAAATTTTGCATGCTGGGTTTACATGGTCTTGTGTGCCATCTGTCATGCAATCACACTCCAAGAGGGAAGCATAAATGTTTATATTAACAAACCAATAATATTATATTATGCAGCCAGGTAATACAGCAAAAAGGTATTAAGCAATATGTAGTAGGTTAATAACTGTAGTAATTACAGGAAATGCAGTCTGAAACATAATTCAAAGTATAATGCTTATAGTTTAAAATACATTAAATTGCTTGAAGAGACTACTCGAAGATGCAGTGTAAAGAATTATCTGACGCTTTATGAATATTAGTCTCTTTTCCTTCCCTTCCTGAAGGTAAAATGAAGGCCATATGCCTGAGTCCAGTTTTTCAAACCCTGGCTGTAATGGTTTGATTTTAGTATAACCTCCTTATTTCAAGTTTAGATGAAATTAGTTTAACTAGCCCCTGTTTGAACCTATTTGCTCTTATCCATGACCTCAAGGCTTAAGTGTTGCCATACTAAGCCATAGTTTGTTTTGAATCATGATCTGTTGAACCAGACAAAAAATTGGTTCACAGATAAAGCTGATTGCTGAATCATGTTATAAACTATGAATTACCAAGTAGCCATAGTGTGATGCATACATTTAACCAAAGTCTGAACTGGAACAACTGGATATAATTAAGAGATCACAATGACCTCAGCAGTTTGAAAACCTTATTCATATTTCTAATCACAGCAGCTAAAGTTGCATACAGAATTACTCTTTGCACAACATATAAAGGCAACATCAAGCAAACTAAATTATGGCTTAAGGTGAAGCATGAACCAAAATTTATATTGCCAAAAGCTTTTAGTAGATGCAAATATTGGATTAAATCCAGTGTTGGCTGGAATAGACCTTTGGATTTGACCTACAATCCATCCATATTTCCTAATAAATGCAAGGGAATTAATTAGAATTCTGCAAACTTCAATTTGGAAAGTAAATTTAAAGCTGATTCAGTCAAATTTTTGAATCTACATCTACTTCTGAAGTGGACCAGGAAATCGCATTGAAGTGGTAAATGAAAGCAGATACATTGCTTCTGAAATACTAGAAAAATCAAGTTTGCCTTCCAAATTATTGAGTTAACAATCAGTTCAAATCAGTTTCTTAGTCTGCAGTTGGTTCACACGCTTTTTAATTAATCCCTTTTAAATTTTAACATTAAAGTTCTATAGACAGCAGCTTTTATTATATTTGGTAATTTTTAGTACTATATTTGATAATTAAAACCTTCTAGGTCTGTGGCAGACTTTAATGGCTGAAAATAATGCAAGGTTTAGAAACAATGTATGTTATTATGGTAGTAGTTTTCAATGCTACGATAACATGTTGCCGCTTCCAACAGTTACAGAGTGATCCAAAATCTTGTAACAATGAACACATCTGTTTGTCTTTTTATATTTTAACAGCTTTTTAGATTTATGATGAGGGGGCAGGGCAACCTATAGTATTTAATTCCATTTCTATAGCTGCCCATCTCAATCCAATTGATTGGTTACTAAACTTGAGCTGGGGGTTGGACTAGAACAGGGATGTCAAACTTGCCATGTCACATGACGTATCATGACATATCATGACTTTTTCCCCATTGTTAGAGCTGAGATGGGCGCGTTTCAGAATGACACATCCAGCCCGTGGGCTGGCAGTTTGATACCCCTGGACTACAAGACCAAGAGTTGGCCCCTAGAAAAATTAGTCCCTTCCAACTCTCTTATTACAGAATAATAAAGATTTGGGGCAGCTAGTCTTCTTGGTAAGTATTTTATCAAGAAATTTCTATGGTAGCCAAGAAATAATTATTTTAAAGCTTGTCATCTTCAGGGTACATACAGCTGAGATGTCAAAAAACCAGTTACACATAAAGTTCTGTACATTATCGACTGTGCTCATAGCTCATGCCATGCCATCATTCAATGAATTGTTTGTGAAACAATCTATGTTTAGTTTCATATACCAAAGTTAGTGAGAAGCCATTACAGATCACAATTCATATAATGTAGGAAGCCAAGAACTAAATCAACTATTATCAAGTTTTCAAGATTATAGACAGATAGATAATGTAATTATTCTCGAAAGCTGCTGAAGGTTAGATAAGAAGCAATGGATGGAACCTTGTCAGAAGGAGATTCAGCCTGGAATTAAGGAAAAAAATCCTGACAACAAGAATAATTAGTCAGTGGAACAACTTGCCTCCTGAAATTATGGATGCTCCATTAAGAAGGTTTTTTTAAAAAAAAAGATTGGACATTTTTCCAGGATGGAATAAAGACTCCTGTTTTGGGCAGGTGGTTGAACTAGAAGACTTCCAATCCAGCCCTATGATTCTGTGATTCGATTCTATAATAATACAGCTCCAGAAGGTCATATAATTTTGTTTTGGCTCAATTGTAATCATAAGTTGGGGACTACCTGTATAGTGATGGGAAGCATAGGCCCGGTCTTCTTCCTTTGGGGTTCAATGACTTTCCAGTACCGCCTAATGCAGTGGTTCTCAACCTGGGGTCGGGACCCCATTTGGGGTCGAACGACCATTTCACGGGGGTGGCCAAACAACGCAGTCTGCCATTTTTTTCCCCCTTTTCCTTAGCTGTGCTACTCCCTTTTATTCTATTGGCGTTTGAAAGCCAATAGAATAGACTCTCTTGAATAGAGTCTAATTCTATTGGCTTTCAAAAGCCAATAGGAATTGTCCAGGCTCTCTCTGCCCTGCTGAGCCCACCAAAAGTCCCATTCTGCAAACGGTGCTGCACCAGTTGAGTAGTCCTCGACTTACGACCGGTTGGGGGTCATGGCATTAAAAAGGTTGAGAACCACTGGCCTAATGCAACTGGAAGGGACAGGGAAATCTGTGTGGTAAGAATTGGGAAGCTAAATCCAAACCTAAATCTGGAGTCAGTTCTCATAAAACCTCTTCAGTATTTCTTGGCTGGGGTTGTGATGGGTCGGGCACGACTTTGCAATTAACAACAACAACAAAATTTCTTGGCATGTGAAAGAGGAAAATGAGTTGATGGGGAGATGGTTTAAGAGGACTATTGAAATGGCTTTGAAGAAAATCAGTAATCATTATGTAAACATCAGCTTATCCCAGAAAGAAGAAAAGGTTGGGGGGGGGGGGAAATCAAGATTGCCCACTTTAATATAAAAAGGAATGGAAAGAACCTGTTAGGCATTCCAGGTTCTACTGTTGAATTCCATAACAATAAAAGTTCCAGTATTTCAGACAGTTTCTTGACACGGATTACCTCAAAAGGTTAACAATTACTTTGTAGCTTGGCGTACTCTCTGAACTTAGATACTGATTTTGTTTTTCTTGGTATTATCCT